ATTATAATCACATTACAAATTTTGATCCCTGAAATCCTTAGTAACACCAATGTTCACTTTGTCTGGTTTTGTTGCAGCATGCCCACATACAATAAATTTCATTTTCAATTGTTCAACACCAGCTAAAATTTTAATTGGAGCATGCATATAAAAATTTTCTGCAAATATATTATTTTTGAATTGAATAATTACTGATCCATTTAAATTAAAACTGTGGTCACGAAGCATGAAAACTTTGATTGATGTGTACATGTATGTATGATCGATTATTAATAATATAATAATATACGTAATTAACATTTGAGATATTTTCCAACATCTAAATAAATAAATATCATTAAACTTACTTTTATCAATACTTCTTTGAAGCCCATTTACTTCATGTGACAGATATGTAATATCGTTAGTAATAATAGTACTTGCCAGTCCGTCAATCTTTATGAAACGACTTGTTCTGTTAATCTTGTGATTTGCTAAATTTTCTGGTAGTTTATCCCATTGTCTAAACAAAGAAGAAGGCGGTAGTGATTTTATTGTTTTATTATTATTTAATCCACCAGGTTCTTTGAGTATATTTGAAAATGAAGTAGTTGGTGAAGGAGAAGATCCCGAGATTTTAAAGTCCAATCGCTTTTGCTTTTCATTTTCTATAGTAATTATAGCCTTTTCAATAATTGATGGTGATGACTGTAATACTTTATTGGAATTATTAAATTCGTCTAGCAATTTACTATTACAATATAAATATCTTGAAGAAGTTATTTTTTGGGATTTTAAAATTGAAATTGGATAATTAGAAAATTTTGAATTTATCATTAAAAAATATTTATTTAAACATTATTTTTTAAAAATATAGGTTACACCATCTCTTGATACGTAAAATAAATAAATAAATAAAATAAATAAATCTATTCTTTCGCTTCTTATATTACTTCTCCCCATTCCCGCCTTCGCCCTCTTCACCTTCCACCTCCTCTTTTATTTTAAACCGATCACAAAATCTGATTAATTGATTTGCACCACAATTTTCAGCAATTGATTTAATTTCTACTAAATTTTCTTGAGTTACGTATCTCGAAATAGCTTTCTCACATATTTGAATCAAATGTGGTATGACAAATCTACTTGCAAAATATATCAAGTCAATCCAATCTTCTAAATCATTTGTATTAATAATTTCATTTGTGTACATGTATAAAAGTATTTTTTCAAGCATTTCATAAGAAATGTCAGGTAATATAAGATATCTATCTTGTGATTCTATCATTTGTGAATTTAAAAGTGCTTTGAAATAATATGATTTATTTGAAAGAATTTGTGCGTGAACATAAAATTGTTCATTCTCATTTTCATTCTTTCCTTCATTTTCCATATTTTCTTCATTTGTCTGTTCATCTTCTCCTTCCACCAATTCCTCCGTTTTTAATTTTATTGTGAAATCACTTGTTTTTGAATCATTGAAAGTGACACTATCATTATTGCTAACAGTATTTAATTCATCATCACAGATTATGTCATTGACAAGATCAACCTTAATATCCATAACAACGCTTTCATCATTATCAACTAAAGGACCGATTTCTCTTCGCTTTTGATTGAATAATCGAGTAGATTTCCACATAAATCTATTTCCATCATAATCACAGCTCATTTCAACCTTTAACAAAAATCCATATTCACCTTCAAGTTGGTCGGTTAAAACTTCAAATGTGTCGCTTTCCCTGATATTACTTGAGGGATTTAGTTTTGTTTCGAAAGGAATTATTGACCAGGTTGGATTTGGATTTTTGACGGTTGGTAAAGGTGAAATTGAACAAATAACTTTTGATGAGTTTAGAAATGATATAGCATGTTTAAGTTTTATTAATAATGATGAAATCACATAATTTCCTGGTCGATAATCAAATTTCCACATTATGAATGCTATTGATTTTTCTGTAACTATATGTTTTGAGCATCTTGTCAAACATATATTGTCACGACCTAAATATTCAGGATATAAAATGATGTTTTCACTTTTAAGAGTTCCTCTGTTCCATCCTCTTATATATTTAGTTTTAAAATTCCCATTTTCATAATACGCATTGGTTCTAGTATTATAAGATATTCTATGTTTATACATATGTGGTTTTAATTCATGTTTAATGACATTAAATATAAATTTATTATTAAATATTCCATCTATTTTTCTTGACTTTTCTACTATTTCATCGTTAGATTTATCCTTCATATTCTCGTTAACATTTTCATTAATGCCATCTTCATCTTTTCTTTCATATTCTTTATCTAATTTAGTAGCATTACCAACATTTCCTTCTTTATCTTCATCTTTTACTTTTTTATTATTATCAACAATATTATTTTCAGGTATTTTTTTTAATTGAACTTTAACATCCATTCTAAGACATTCATGCGAATCGGCAACAACTTCACCCTGAACACGTAAATCTTGTCTAAATAATTGAGTATTTTTCCATAATAAACCACCGTTTACTTCTCCTTTCAAATAAAATCCACTATGATTTTTAACAAATTTTTTCAAATTTAGATTTTGATCACTCAACTGATACCCATATCCATCTGACCATGCCTGAACAGCAAAAAAATCCAAACGAATCCAACCAGGATCGTTTAATAATGATGCATTATTATTATGATTACGATTAGTTGTCGAATTTGTTGATGTTGATGATGATAAAAATGATGGTAAAAATGTTGATGATTTTAATTTATTATTATATTTAGACATAAATCTCGATCCTGATCCGCCATTGTTAGATTTAAATTTTGATGGCGATATTGGAAGAATGTACCATCTTGCATCAGAAGTGTTATCCCATAATGAATACTCTAATCTTACTTGAAGATCAATAATTTCAAAGTTTCCGGGCGAATAATCAAATTTATAAATTATAAAAGAGGGTAGTTCAGGATACCTCCTATCTTTTGTTAAAAATGTCCTATTAAACATGTATTCAGGTACATAGGACATGTTTTCATATTTATAAGCACCTTTATCCCAAAATTCCAAATATTTTTCTTTGAAGTTTCCATTTTCATAATAAGCATCAGTTCTTGTGTTATAGGAAATTCTATGTTTGTAAGTTGTATCGGATTCTTTGATAATATTGCATGGATATTTATTAAATATTCCTTGGAAGGACGACGTTAATGATGACCGCGACGATGATGGTGATGATGGTGATGGTGGTGATGATGGCGATGATGGTGACGATGATGATAACGATGATGAAAATTTTAAACTTTTTAAAGCAATTTCATCATTAAAATACTTTAACGCAGTTTCTTTGTCTACTAATAATGGATAACAAATTTCTTGGAATTGTTCAGCATTAGGACCTTGGATATTTTCTCTGATGTCCATATCACGAGTTTGATATGAATAAGATGGCTTTCGAAAAGCCATTTTTTCTAGTTAATTGTTAGTTGGTTAGTCGAAATGGGAATACATAATAATAATGAATGGATAAAAAAATTTTTTTTATTGGTGTTTGTTTGTTTATTTAATTTATTTATATATATATATTTGTACGACCTATCTTATACTAATACTTCATTTCAATAAAAATATAAAATCCACAAAGTTCATTATCAACATTGACATCACCTTTTAAAGGTTCAAATTTACCAAATAAATTTTCAAACAGTTTTGGAAATTCAACAAAGAGATAATTCTTATCACAATCATCTGTATCATAATTTTTTTCCTGAAGGGTTTTTACAACCATTTTATAAAATATTGATGGGCTAGGTGGAGGAAAGGTGCGTGTGGATTCGAGTTTACCGGTTATTTTCCTTTGAATTTTTTTGATGTGTTCTTTTCGACAAAATCCTTGACATGAATGTGTGAAATTTTCATTGAAATCCATTCCTTGATAATCTTTACTCCAAGAAATGAAATAATCACAATAACGGTCTAGCAATAATCCTTGTGTTTTAACAGATAATTGACTAAATAGTTGGTCTGATTTGTAGACTGAGAAGTTATCAAGAACCAATTTAGACGAACTCTTATAAACATTTTTGAATCTGTAAAGATCAGCTAGGACAAGTGATAATAAAGGTCTAGATTGGAACTCACGTTCCAAGAATTCTTTTCCTCTTTCAATAAATGAATCGACCAAATATTTATCAGCAATTCGAAACAATTCTGCAACATTATCCCAGGTAATCAGTAAACTACTTCCTGGATAAATAAAATCCAAAAGATCTTCAAATGTTTGCATTGGTTCGTCAAGTTCAATGCTTTGAATTCCTTGACTTAGTAATTGAGTATTGCTGCTAGTGGCGGCATCTATGAATAAATCTTTGAAAATTTGAGATGCAAGACTTAAAATTAGTTTATGGATCTTAAATGATTTATCTTTGACGATTATTATAATATCACCATCAGGATAATTATGTTTAGATGATAACATCTTCTTAATCAAGCAAGAGTTAAATAATTTTATATGTAAGAAAAAGAATATTCAAGGAAAGGTAAATTAATAATAATAAATTCATTTATTATTATTGTTTTTGTTAATTATTATTATTATTATTATTATGATTTTCGTTTTTTGTTGTTACACCGAATATTACAAATTTTGTGTGTAATAACTTTGTTTTTTTTTTCTTTGTAACATAATAATAAGGAATTGAAGGATGAAAAAATGAGTAAAGAGTGTACATAACTTTGATAAAAATTCTGTCCGGCTTAAATTCATGTAATTGAAGCAAATTATGTGTTTTATATGTTGATTGTACGCGAATTTAGAAATTTGTCATATTTGAGATCTATGCATGTCAAAAGTGTGAGTTTTATTTTTTCTAAACATTAATGTTAACGCAATATATTCCTGGTTTAATTCTTTATTACAATAAGGAATATATTGGAGAAGTTTTATCATCATACTTTTAGAAAGTATTAAATATAAAAAGGGGGTTTTTTAAAAAATTTAAAATTCATTATAGAATCGATCGGTATACCATTTCCCACTTTCTACAACCAAATCCAGGAAATCAACCTGAGCAATCAATCAACAACATCTCATTTCTTTCCACGTACTCAAAACAAAGTGAAATCAATCAGGGATTGGGAAATGCACCATCGACGCGTGAACTACTTTCCTCCCCCCCTTACCTTTTGAAATGTGGCATCCTTCGAAAAAGCTTCAAGAACTCTCGGACGAATTCGAGAAAAAAATACTTTACGATCATCCATCTGTTCCTTGTGCCTATTGTTCTATGCTGATGATGAGAGCTGCGGTTAAATGGATTGATTACGATCTTGACGAAACTTACGACATAATGATAGCGTTTCCAGACCTCCAATTACCTTTGCGCGTAAACAACAGGGGCAAAACCAAGATCGCTGTATGTTCATCGTGTAAATCTATGAAAAATCGCCGCTTTCCACCTACCCTAGCGGCGATACCTGAAGAAATCAGTGCAGTTCCGATGAAGCATCGCAAACACCTATCTCCAATTCGAGCACGACATTTGCAATGGAACAATAGGAGTCGTTACCAAGAGTATAGACCACAATAACGTCGAGGTCACCTTCCCAACAAACGAAAACATTGTTAAGATCAATGTTCAAAAAGCTACCGCGAACTTTGAAATTAACGGAGTACATGCCTCGAGACACCAATTCCCTTTACAGGACGCTCTTACGTTAACCGTCCACAAGACCCGAGGCCTAACGTTGCCGCACGTCACCTTGACCATAGATCAAAATATGTTTGCTCCTGGTCAGATCTATGTGGCGATGAGTCGATCTCCTTCCTGGAATTCGATGGACATTTTTGATTTCGATTCCTTGAAGGTAGATAGGAATGTGATAAATGAATACAAGAGATTGAAATTGTTAAACGAAAAAGGTCTAATAGAGATGATTCAACGCTGATTTGGTTTTTCATAACAGTAAATAGATGTTGAAAAAAACATGTTTTAAAGTTTTCTATTTTGTATAACGTTATTGTATCACTATCATTTACATTAGTTAATGTTAAATTAGACTATTTTGTATAACGTCGTATCACCATGATAACAATAAATGATGCAACTTCATGATTTAGTACTGTAGTAACAAAACATCTTTGTCTGTTTCTTTGTACGTACACATTAGACTATTAATAGATTACTTTGCTCGAGTTTTCGATCGTAAACAATTGATTGGTTAATTCAAATTCCAGTGAAGCACTAATTGGGTCCTTTTGTGTTTTTTGCCACGCCGCCAATTTTGAGAAAAATTTTCCTATTTTGTTCATAGATCTTGTCCTTAATGCTTGTACAAACTATTGAATAATTGATAAAACGTTTGTTAGAATATTTTGAAAGCTTCATAAATCTTGTCCTTAACGCTTACTTCGATCACTCCTATACAAACTGGATCTTATCATCCTCAAAAAACGATGATTCGTTGTTGTCGTTGCTACTAATTACTGAATTATAATATTATTGATTGATGGATCTTCATATATTACAAATGTAACCAATTAGCGAAATTTATCTTTTTTTAATTTTTTAAAAATGTTTCCTTAACTAAATAAAATAAATAATAAAAATTAACAAAAGGAGGGTCATGTCACGAGGGGTCAATACACCCAACATGAGC